CTATATATTCGTTTTTGGTTTTTACACCTTTATTGAATGCATATGCTAAGTTTTTTCTAGAAGGAACTATGGCCTCCCACCTGCTTAATAATGAAGGATTTTTATGAGGCCTTGATGAATCAGCAGATTTTTCTCAAATCGGATATTGCCTTTGGGGGCATTTTTATCTGCTCTAAGATATTTTTCTTTTATTAAATCTGGCTGAATATCAGATTGTTTCAGTTCTACATCACCATCTTTTATTGCCTCTTGAAGTTTGTTCTGTGAAGCTATGTTTTTTCTATAGGCTTGGGTTGCGGGGCCTGGGCCAGCTTCTTGGAAAATTAGTATTGGTGATTTATTTCTTTTTGTTATTTCTCGTCTTCGATCTCTTCCTCGAATATGGGTAACAGTAGGAGGAATGTCTTGGTCTTTGACTTGGAGAATTGTAATTTGAGGAATTACTTTCGGTCGACATTTATATTGTCTTTTATTATGGCGACGAAATTTCCATAATTTGGAAAAGCTTTTGCCACATTTTGTACATGGATGTTCGACCATATTTGTTATATAATACTTATAAAAATCTTTTCTTTAATTATAATACCTTAATTACTATATAATACTTATAAAATATTTTTGTTTAAATAAAAATTTCAGTATCTCAATATCAATTTTTTTGTCCTAATTTTAGTACCAAGATCTGAAATTTTAGTAAATATATCTGAAATTTTGGTACCTGGATCCAAAAAAATAGCTATCTATGTCTGAAATTTTGGTACCCAGATATCAAAATTTTGGTATCAAGATCTGAAATATCTGAAATTATAGTATCCGAGTATCATAATTTTAGTACACATATCCGAAATTTTGGTATCTGTATCCCAAATTTTGGTACCCTGCCATAGCGGGGTACCAAAATTTATCCTTTGCTAGATAGAGTTAAATCACTTTTTGAATTAATGCTAGAATAGCATAGAAAATAGTATGCATATTAGGCTTGAATAGGCTCACAGAGAAGCACACTCAGACCCAAATTTTGGTACCCCGCAATGTGGGATACTAAAATTTAACCTTTGCTAGATAATGTTAAATTGGTTTTTGAATTAATTCTAGGATAATATGAAAAATAGTATGCATTTTAGGCTTGAATGGTCCCACAGAGAAGCACACTCGGACCTTCGGACCTCGGTGCTCTCAGCTCATTTTAAGGGCAAGCAATATAGCATATATTTTTCGTTATCTTGTTTGGGATTAAAAACATAGCCAGAGTATTAACAAAGACTACGTACACCTTAATGTTGGAAACCCAAATTTAGATATAAGGAAAGTAAGTTAACAGGATTTGGCTCTAACATAATTTAAAGCTTGAATTCGATATAGGATTCATATAGCTAGAAAGGCTTGTAGAGGATGTTAGAAAGGCAGGAAAGCTAGGGTCAGAATTTTGACCCCAGAACCCTCCTTTTGACCCTACTAGTGCCCAACACTGGCTATAATGTATTTGATTTGAAGGTATAGTTTTGTTGTCTGGTTCCACTCCTCATTATGTTGCGCAGTATGGACCAAGATTGAGTACTTTTCTTTCTTGATAAGTTTCATCATGCGTATTATATATGAAAGCTCATTCTGCTTTTAATAACACTCTCTCTATTATTTTGATAAAAGAACAGATAGGCTTTTTAACTAATTTATCTTCCCATATGTATCTTATTTTGTGGCCTTTGTATATAGTGCTTCCAGGTTTAGGTACTCCATTGACTTGAAACCTTCCTTTGCCTTCAAATTTGCAAGATCATTGAAAATATCACCTAAATGACTCTTGATCTTTATAAAGTGTATATTTAGCTCCTTTATCTTAATCACCTCTACAATTGTTGTTACCAAACCACAATTCTTAGTCTTCAACCAAGGTCTTATCTTGTCTGTCTTTAGGCTCTTTTTGATTGCTAATATTGCTACTTTACTATTCATTCATATCTCTACCCTTCTTCCCCAGAGTGTAGTTAGTAATACGAGTAATATTGCTACTATTTCTGCTCTTGTAGATAAAAACTACCTCTTTGTTGCACAAGACATTTGTTACAAAATCTGACCTGTTTCTGTAATTTGTATTACTTCATATTCTATTACTAATTTTTTTTCCTTCTTAGCAGTACCGAATAAGCCATCTGTATAGAAAAATAAATTATCTAATTCTCTATTTTGTTCTAAATTTTTTGCTATTCTAGATTAATTATATTATCCTGAACTATTCTATTAACTAAGACCATTTTCTAACATTTGCACTTTATATTTATTTTACCCTTCTCTTTTATTCTTTTTGTTTCTTTTGCTTTAACTAGCACTTTCTCTTTCTTTTTACCAACTACTTTTTCTATGTGTTTTTTTTCAAAAATCAACTTTGTACTCTTTTCTGTTTTCTAAACTACATTTGAAATATCTCTGAGTTTTCTACATTTAACTATAAAGATTTCATTTTTTTTATCAATTTCTAATAACTGCTACATTTCATTTTCATGACAATATATTGTTTCTTTGTATTTTTTAACTTCTATATAAGCATTTTCTTTTTTTTTAACCTTTTCTATATTGAGTGTTGTATTTGCTTTATCTCTCCAGCAAGCTTATTCTTTTATTCTTTTATTAGCACTTGGCTCTTTTGTCTCTAGACTAAGTATATTGTGGTAAAATTTACTAAAAACTATCAAGCTTTAGCAAACTTTAAAATCACAAGTGTCAAGTGGACTATCTTTTATTTAAAGAGAATAATAAAAAGAAAGAAAAATAAACAATTTATATAATGGAATTTAAATTCAATAGCCTTTAAAGTACTATAAGAAGTTATCAATAGGCAATAAGACTTGAGAGATTAAACCTATTGGTCAGTTTGTACAGGTCAGGCGTAGTAATTACTTGTCCTTTACAAGGATATATTAGCTACTAAAACTTAGAAATATTCTAAGATATAACTAGAGGAAGAAGTACTAACAATTAGACTATTCACGGCTATGTATGGCCTTTAAATTCTGAATAATATAAGCTAGTATTTTGCCAAAATACTATTTCTGAAACCAGTTTTCACTTTATATTATTTCAAGAAAAAGAAAAAATTTATTAAAAGAAAAGATAAAAACATAAAATAAATAAGAAAAAGAAATAATTCTGGTAATAATATTAAGATAAAATTAGATAAATATGAGTTTATTTAAAGAAAATTAAAGTAGCAAGAGAACTGCCTTTTAGAAGGGCAAAAAGCTATCCTTTTTATAACTTTTTAGCCTAATATTTCATTGGTTTTAGGATTACCATGTGTTGCAGCTAGTGTTCAAAGACAAGCCGGCTTATCACGGCTTGCTGCGGCTTAATGCGGCTTATCAGGTGATAAATTCGAATTTATCACCAAGCCATGTGATAATCGCGAAAATATCACGTGATAAATTTGAAGATATCGCATAGCTTGGTAATAAATTCGAATTTATCACGTGATAAGCTGCATTAAGCTACAGCAAGCCGTGATAAGCCGGCTTATCTTTGAACACTAGTTGTAGCAATATTTTGAACTATCCAAAACGCATGTAAGGCCTTGGCAACTTGGAAATTCCAAGTAGAATTACCTGCAACACCAATAAAGCCCGCCGAGCAATGCCAAGTAGAATGCTGAGCTAAGTTATTTTTAGCAATACTCGGCAATATATTACTCAATAACTTACATATTAACTAAAAATAAAACACATATAATTGTGTAGCTCATGTGATGATTTACAAGGCTAATTATAGCATTTGGATGTTTAGAAGCCTCCTTGAATGTGTTGTCCTATGACTAACTAAAAATAACTATAATAAAATATAAGAAAAAACTTAGAAAAAATATCAAATATTCTAAATAATAATAATAAAGAATAATAACTAACTAATATAAACTAATAAAATATAATAATAATAACTAAAAAAAAGAAATAAAAAGAAAATTCTATTACATATTCCCCTCCTTTAAGATGCGAGGTCCTCTGAAGCATTAAATTAAAACGATATACTGTTCTATTTTTAACTTTTATCGATAAGATTCTAAAAGTTTCCATTAACTAATTTTAATACAAATGAGTCATAAACTTTAATTTGTAATTTATCAATTCACCATCAGGCTTAGTTTCCATTTTTAGCTTTTGATTTCATTGATAATCGTCAATTATAGTAGTTTATCATTTTGAGTAATGCTATAATAAACTTTAATTGATCTAGACTTTCTAGTTAATCTGACAAAAAATAAAAATAAATATCACTTAAAAAGATTTATTTTTTTCTTCAATTCGGCTGCAAATTAACTTTCTATCAATATTTTCCAAAAATCACTTGCAAGGTTATTATCTATTGTTCATTATTTTGCCTCTAAATTTCACTATTTATGATTATCATACTAGTTTATAGAGAAACTTTTGCTTTTCCACTGGATCACTTGGTACTTTCTGCTTTATAGTTTGACTTCTTGGGTGCCCAGGTTAAAGCGAAAAAGGATCATAGCTCAATATTAAATATTGTGCAGCTAGCCCTTTTTGTTTTTCTTTTGCACATTTTTTTTTTGTTTTCTCTATTATGAAATAATAGTTCTCTTCTTGCTAGTATTTTTGTTTAAACAAAAACATAATACTAAACTTTTGATATATTTTAGTTAAAAAAAATATCTCTTGAGAAATTTAGATTTAAGCCTATTCAGTCCTCTACCTCTTTCTCTTCGACTTCCACTAACACTCCTACTACTACTCGTCAAGATTTGTTAACCCATATTGGCTCCTTACAAGATACCGTAGCCGCTATTCAAAGTTTGTTAGTTCATTTAGAAAAGAAAACAAATAAGTTCGCAAGTGATTCAAGCTGTCCTGAGTGTGCTCATTTGCGTACCAAATTAAACGATATATATGCAGAGCTTAAGAAAAAAAAGTTCCAAAAAGACATACTCCAGAAGATTAAAGATCTTGAAAAGCGTGTTTGGGAATTGGAGACAGAAAATCTTCGACTCAAGTTTATGAATAATACAAATGATAAAAATAAAAATAAGAGGAAGGATAATAGTAATAATGATAATAGTAATGCTGATAGTAATAATAATGAAGAAAATTAAAAAAAAAAATAAGAGTTGTTGTTTTTTTTTGTTTTCCTGGGGCAATGATATTATAAATATAATAAGGACCTTTCTATTTTTCTCGAAATTTATCACCATAAACCTTAGCTTGGGCAGATCGATATAATAATACTTTATCTCCAATATGAAATGAAATTTCCTTGACATGTTCATCATGTTTTTCTTTTTGTTTTTGTTGAGCTATTTCAATATTTTGTTGAGCTTTTAACTGGACTTGCTGTAATTTATTTGTTATAAGATCAATATAAACTTGAAGTTGCTGTTTATAAGGTAGCTTCTCAGTATTATTTGTAGAATTTAATGCTAAATCTAATGGTGTAATAGCTTTCCGTCTATAAAGCAATTCAAAAGGTTCATATTTGGTAGTAAATTGAGGGATAGTTCAGTAGGCAAATAGAGCAGCAGAAATAAAAGTATCCTATGAATCCTCATAGTCACTAACATACTTTGCTAGCATAGTATACAAAGTTTTATTAAACCTTTCAGTTAATCCATTAGTTTGAGGATGATAGGCAAAAGCAAGTCGATGTTTAATTGTCATTAGTTGACAAATAGCATCAACTAAAGTATTACAAAAAGAGAACTTTGATCAGATAATAACTCTTGAGGACATCCATGATGAGTAATAATTTCATCATAAATAAACTTGGCAATAGTAGTAGCTTTTATATCAGGTATAGCTTTAGCTTCAGACTATTTTGTTAAATATTCAGTAGCTACTACAATATATCGATTTCTATTAGAGGTGATTTTTAAAGATTCAACAATATTAATTTCTACTCAGTGGAATGGTGCTGATACTGGTAGAGGATGTAGGAGTTGATTTTGTTTTGTTCCTCCTTGCCGTTGACAAGTATCACAAGTTTGAATATAGTTTGTAATACTTTTATACATTTTAGACCAATAGTATTTGTTTTTAGCACGATTATAAGTCTCATCAATGCTAAAGTGTCTAGCAAGAAGATCAGAATGTAATCCATATAAAACAGTAAGCAGTTTAGATTCCTGAACTACATATAGTAATTTTTGTAAAGATCTTTTTGGTTTTCTGTATAGTTGGTTGTTTTTAACAATATAATGTATTGCTTGTTTTTTAAATTGTTGTTGCTCCTTTAAAGTCAAATTTGGGGGTAATTTCAAAGTTGTTAGATATTTTACAAAGTTAAAATAGAGAGTGGATTTCATTTTGGTTAGAGTGTTTGATGTTTTTCCTAGGGTGGCTTCCTAGAAAGACAAGAAAGTGCATCCACATTTGAGTGGACTTGTCCCTTGCGATGTATGACTGTATAAGGACAGTCAGCTATCTGTTGTATCTAGCAAGTAACCCTTTTGGCAGAATTAGGCTGATTTAGCAATCAACGAAGTGCTGAATGGTCAGTAATAAGGTCAAAAGGCTTCATATAGATATAAGGTCGAAAATATTTCATTCCCCAAACTGCAGCAAGACATTCAATTTCAGTTGGAGAATAATTAATTTCAGCAAAATTTAAAGATCTACTAGCATATACTATTACATGTTCATTATTATTACCATTCTTTTGAGCGAGAATAGCACACAAGCCTTGATATGAAGTATCAGTAAAAAGTATAAATAGGTTTTCAAAATCAGGATATTGTAGAATAGGAGCAGTTGTTAATTTTTCCTTCAAGATATCTATGGCTTGTTGACAGGTTTCATTCCAAACAAAAGAAATATTTTTTTTTAATAATGTGTTTAAAAGGTGAACAATTTGTGAAAAATTAAGAATAAACCTTCAATAATAAGAAGCTAAACCAATAAATCTTTGAAGTTCAGTAAGATTACTAGGTACAGGATAATTTTGAACCTTATCAATTTTAGAAAGATCAGGAGCAATACCATTTTCACTAATAATATGTCCAAGAAAAGCTAGCTATTGTTTTCCAAAATAATATTTATCTTTTTCTAATTTTAACCCAGCATTTTGTAGTCATTTAAAAACTTCTTTTAAATATTCTAAGTGTTCCTCGAAAGTTTTTGAATAAATAGTAATATTATCAAGATATACTAAAATAAATTTATTTTTAAGATCAGAAAAGATTTTATCCATTACTCGTTGAAAAGTAGCAGGTG